GATGAGCAACCTCTCGTGTGGTTCATCATCGAGATCGATTCGAGGGATCTCGAGACGATGTGCTTGTGGAGAGAACATTGTATTACGTGTTTCAACAACAGATAAAAACCCAAATCGGAAGTTTTACAAATGCTTGGTCACAAAACAAGGAAACTACAATCATGTTTTCAAATGGTCTGACAAAGCACATTTGGAAGAATTAAATATTCTTTCGGAGAATCAGTTGATGTTATTTGAGGAGATGAAACAGATGGTGAGTACATAGAATATTAAAATGGAGAAGGTTCAGAAGATTGTGGAGAAGAAGCAGAATTTGGAGCACCAGTTAGAATGTATGAAGGCATCAGCGAGAAAACAACTTTTCATCTCTGCGATTTTTTTTTTTGTTTGTTGTTGGTTTGGTACATTGCCTACTAGGTGAATGCTGTCATTGTTTTGGAGTCACTTTTGTTTTCAAATTTTGGTGTCCATTACGGAGTAATTGGTGATGAATAATGTTGCACTTTGGAGCCAAGTTTTGCTTACTTCTATAAATCTACATGAGTAATTTTTCCAACGTAAATGCAATTGATGGTTTTAAAATGGAATTGGTAAACTGGATTGCAAATAAAATTCTAAAAAAGACAATGTGAACCAGTTCAAACAACTAGAGAAAAGAAATGCAAACACATCCAAAAACTAAAAAGAGATGCCTAGATAGACATGTCACATGTCCCTCTCTTGTGTCCTTCCAAACCACAACGACTACACTTATGTTTTTTAGTCCTCTGTGATCCCTATGAATTACGTATCACGTCTTCCACCGTCTCATATCTTCGCTTGCGTCGTCTACCAGCTGCTCTTCGTGTTTCTGGTGCAAGAACTTTGGAATTTTCAATGTCCATTGGGACGACCCATGTATCCTCAGGAACGCCTATTGGATTAATGCTTTTTTCGTAAGCTATTCTCCATACGGCAGTAGTATACCTAGAATGCAATGTATTTTCAAGGTAAAGAAAAAAAAATCGAATATTGGAAAAGGAGATTAAGATTGTTATAGTAAACATTGCATCAGTAAGTGTGTGTGGTTTCGTGTTCACCGAAAAACCAGCTTTGATGGAATGTCTGCAAGGAATTTTTAACAGTGTGTACTTCCCACAAGTACACGTCCTTAGCTCCAAGTCAACTAGACAATCAAATTTGTCTCCTCTAACCAAAAATTGTTTCAAACTAACTGGATGAACCCGAACTGATTTACCCTTCTCAATCCTCCTGTCAATTTTTTTTTTCTCAATCTCAATAGTTAAGGGGGTATTATGCTTTGAGCTTACTCTTCTTCAATCATAAAACCATTGGGTTAACATTTCTGTGATGATGTCCAACAAAGGAATGACAGGAAACTCTTTGGGTGCTAGCAGAACAGAATTCAGCGACTCAGCTAGGTTAGTGGTTTGAATGTCATATCTGAATCTAGAAAATCTACATCGCGCCCACTTTTCCACACCAGCTTCCATCAAATATTTTGCAACGAGCGGACTAATGTTGCGAATGTTGTTGAATCGCCTCTCAAATTCAGCAACCCTATATTCTTTAGACGCTTTTGCAATTAAAACATCTAAACCCTTTGTCTTGAAATGGGATGCCACATTACTCAACAAATGATGTATGCAAATTCCATGTGAAGAGTGTGGGTAAACTTTAGCAAGTGCTTTAGTAACAGACAAATTTATATCTGACACAAAAGCTACACCTTGCCCATCAGCTATAACGAGAAATGCTATTGGATACAAACCATCTAAAGCTGTAGCAACAAGAAGCACACCTTTGTATTTGCGTTTCAAAAATGTGTCATCAACAACAATAACCCTACGCATGGCTCTATAGAAACCTCTAATCGATTAGCCGAAAAAATAAATAGATATTGGAATCCATTATTGGAATCAGTTTTGAAATGAGTATGCGTACTCGGATTAGCTTGTTTCAACATGTGCAAATATTTGAAAATTTTACCATAGCCTTTCTTTGGAATTCTTTTAGCAACACTAACTGCATATTCACGCGCATCCCAAGCATGTTGGTAGGAGATCTCGCATCCATACTCACTTCGCATAAATTCCATGATTTACCGAGGTATTGGTCCTTCTTTAACACCTTCAAACCTATGCATAATCTGAAGTCCAATTGTTTTTGCTGAAGCTGTTCTACCGATTTTTTTTTTTTCGATGGAGCAAATGTATGTTCAGCAACATACTTGTTGATTTTGAAATAGGTTGAGTCCTCTAAATATTCTGCACGAACACTCCAGTTGCACACTCTATCTTTGCATCGTATTGACCAGAATTTTTTTGTAGATTGCTTCACATCATAATCAAAGTTGTGCTTCATTGCGCATATTTCTAATGTCACTTTCGAATAGTTTTTGGTTTTGAAAACTTGCCCTTTCTTGACAGCATCTACCAACCAACACCGAGATTCTGAGTGAATGTTTTCTTTCTCTTCACCAAACAAAATATCTTCACCATCCTCGCCAACACCTTCTAACTTACGAGCACCTGTTGTGCAGCCATCATTTTGCTGCGGTAAAACTAAAGCTACAGCTTTTTCCTGTCGTTGCTCATCGCTGCCAGTCAGATGGCTTTTTATTCAAATCAATGTTGACAACTTCGCTTCTAATTGCAGATGGACCTGTCAGTGTCACACAGAGCCAAACAGAAAGGTTTTTCTTTGCATATCCAACAAAATTTTTAACTTGTCGGTCATTTGTGATAATGACTGGGGAAAACCCTGATTTATCAGTCAAATCACTAGGTAGATAACTGATTTGAAAATGCTGAACGACGATACCAGTCATCCTGCACCATCATTTTTAACTCCTCAAAACTTGTACTTGATTCCAGAGTTATCAATCTTCCTCCTTGCTCTTTTTAACAATAAAATTCCACTCTCTCTTCAAACCAGAATTCCATAAACCACATGTTACGTAGGTATGTAACATATTTTAAGGTAATTAGAACGAAAAACAAGGAGAATACGTAAAAATTATGAAGAAAACGTAAAAGTTTGTAGGTTGAAGGAGGAAAACAACCTAAGTTGAGGAGAAGAAGCAAAAATTATCAACATAATTTAGTTTCTAAGAAAAAAATTTTAAAAAATAATTAGGAAATTAAATATTTTGAAAAGGAAAGAAATATATTTTCTAGATCTGATCCTAGATTCTCGGAGATTCAGTTAACCGAGTTGTAGAACAAGTATTCTATAATTGTAGAACAAAGAGTTTCCGTAGAAATGCAATTCTACTAAGATGTAGAACAGAGAGTTAACTATAGAAATATAATTCTACTAAATTGTAAAACAATGAAAAGTTGGTAGAATACGGTTTCATATCTTTGTAGAACATAGAAGAACTGTAAAAAACTAGTTCTATATTTTTAGTACAAAACTAATGAAATAGTAGATAGCCTATTCTATAAATTTATAGATTTATAGAATGCTCTTTCTACTAATTCGTAAAACATTTAGAAAAAATTGTTTTAATTTTTGTTTTTTGAAAAATATGTTATGAAATGTCTTTGTATTTCCTTTTTTGATTTTTTCAAAATTTTTTAGATTGTAAAACTATTTTTTTTTAAATTTTCGTAATTATAAATAAAGGGTTTTTGTCCAAAAGTGGCCAAGTTTGAAAAAGTATTAAGGGGACAATTCTACAGTTTTTTGTCATATAAATATAATTGCCCCATGATAAAATATGGTTCCTAGATTTTTATGTGTAGTAGATTTATATGGAGAGACGGTAGATTTATTAACATAAAACAGATTTGTACAGAACTTGGTAAACTCATTAATAATGACGGTAGATTTATATAAAATATCAAGAAACACGAAGTCGATAGACTTGTGGAAATTTGGTAGAGTTATTTACGAATAGGTAGATATATCTAATATTGATAGATTTATTCGAAATTGGTAGACTTATTATCAACTGATCTGTATTAATGATGGTAGACATGTTTCTTGGGAAAATAAATTTGAATCCAAAATGACGATTTAGCCCATCAACTAACTTCTGGTTAGCAATAAATACCAGACATCTGTCGACCTTGATTTAGGTTACTGCCGACTTAATTTTGTTGCATCCCAGATCTTTTGTCTCTTTATCTTGATTTTCTCATCATCTCTTCATCATCTGCTGCAATGGATCAAGTTGTTCTGGTCTGTGGAAAATGGGATTTTTTGAAAAATTGTTGGGTGTTCTTCGTTGATAAGAGAAAAAGGTGTAGAGGTTTAGGAGTGGATCATAGAATTTTCTTTGGATCGTCGCTTTTTTGAGGTACAACTGAGTTATATGCTTTCAAAGAATATTCGCAAAAGATACTCTTCCGGTTTTTGTAGCGAGTTCTAGACAATTGAGTGGTTTTCTGCAACAATTTCAAAACAAGACCGTTCGTTTATGTGTTGAAATTATAGAGAAAGCGACAGATGGCGTCAGGGAAGAAGAAAAACAACCAATGAAGATGAAATGTGAAGATGTTCCTCTCACTGGGAAACAGTCTGGAAATGGAAGAGGAAAAAATGTTGTTGACGATATTGAAGAAGAAGATGAAGAGGATGAAGATGAGGAATTCAGATTTGACAACTGCGAAGACCCGAATGGTGCAAGTTCGGATGATGAAGATTACGGGATGTGTGGGAAGTCCTCAGATAACGAAAAAGACATGCACGATCTACCACCACAGAAACGGGGTGTTTCATCGACGATGCCCGATTTTGTGCAGATGGAAATGAAGTCGGTAGACTTATCTGTTGGCCAGTGTTACGACACAAAAGAGGAGTTAGAGACAAGATTGAAGATCTATGCGGTTGCAAATAAATTCGACTTTGATGTCGATCATTCAACGCTGACATTATTGATGGTCAAGTATTGAGTGGGAGGATGTGAATGGAGGGTTCGTGCTACAACAGAAGGAGATAAACCAAAGTTCTATATTAAGACTTATATAGGAGTTCACACATGTTCTGTTACAATGCGGTCATATCGGGCCCGACAAGCAATTCATGAGAAACTAGGACGTCTATTTAAAGGATTTGTTGGTGGTGTTGGACCAACTGTTTTGCCTCATCATGTTGTTGCTGCTCTAACTAAGCGTTATGGAATAAAGGTGATTGGCAACTTAAATGTTTGGTAGAGTATTGATTTAGTTTAGTAGATTTATCTTCATATTTTTTGGTAAATTTATTTCGATTTCTTTTATTTGATATAGTTATTTTTTGGGTAGATTTGTTTTGGTAGATTAATTGTTTAAAATGTACATGCAGGTAGAGTATTTGAAAGCCCATCGTGTGTTAAAGTATGCACAAAAATTGGTAAGAGGAAGTTCAGAGAATGGTTATGAGGAGCTTCCATCGTACTTATACATGATTAGACGGGCTAATCCCGGTACGTTTATAAAGCTTGAAGTTGATGAAGAAGACAAGTTTAAATTTATGTTCATCGCTTTTGGTGCGTGCATACATGGGTTTCCGTTTATGCGGAAAGTTGTGGTCGTTGATGGGTGCATACAAAGGTACATTACTTATTGCCTCCTCACAAGATGGAAATTTTCATATTTTTTCCAGTTGCTTTTGCGGTTGTTGATACCAAGAATGATGAGTCTTGGAAATGGTTCTTTAGAAATTTACACCGGGTTATGCCCGATGATAAAGAACTTGCCATCATTTCAGATAGGCATAGAGCTATTGGAAAAGCCATTGCGAAGGTTTACCCACTTTCTAGTCGTGGTATTTGTACTTTTCATTTGCATAAGAATATTGTGGAGAAGTTTAAAGGCTTGGATACTTTCAAACTTGTGAAGAAGGCGGCCACGGCATATAGGCTTGCAGATTTTAATGCTTTATTTAGGCAGATACAAGCTTGTAATCCTGGTCCTTATAACTACTTGCAAAAAGCGGATCTACGTATGTGGTCTCGGGTGCATTTCTCTGGAGATAGGTACAATATCACAACCAGCAACATAGCAGAATCAATAAACATGGTCCTTTCGAAGGCAAGATCCAATCATAAAACTTTTACATGAGATAAGATCATTACTAACAAGATGGTTTGCGAAAAGGCGCCGGTCCGCAAGTAAATAAAATGAAAACTGAGCTTACTACCAGTGTTGAGGAATTGCTCCAGGTACGTTAGTTTTCCTTTTGGTACATAAGTTATCTTAATTGGTAGACTTGTTTGTGTATTGGTAAATTTATAACATGGAAAATTCTTAATGTTGGTAGATTTATAAGACGTTGATAGATTTGTTTGTTCCATGGTAGATCTATAACACTTTGGTAGATTTGTTATTACATGAAAACAGGTCAGAGTTTAAGAAGCCAAGCAACTGGATGTTCAAGAGATAGATGAACATCGAGCACAGGTCAATGGTGGGTCTTCATTGTATGTTGTCAACTTGGAAGCCAGAAAATGTACTTGCTGAAGGTTTAACATTGATAAGATCCTCTGTGTCCATGTCATTGCAACCGCTGATGCTGCAAAAATTGATACAGTCTCTCTATGTCATCCCTACTTCCGAACATCTTACCTGTATAACACTTATTCGGGGGGTAGTCGTGCCAAGAGATGTCGCCCTACCGGTGTCCGATGAAGTGGCTACGAAAGTATTTATGCCGCCTTTCATTCATAACCCACCCAAACGCCCCAAAAAATCTCGTATGAAAAGTGCACTGGAAGTGGAAATGCAGAAGAAACGTCCAAGAAAAGAACACAAGTGTTCTAAATGTGGTGTAGGCGATCATGTGCTACATGTCCAGTGTGAACTTAGAGGCTTGTTATTGTATGTTATATATTGTGTTTTCTTCTTTCTTAAACAGAACTTAGAGGTTTGTTATTGTTTGTAGTTGGTATTTGTTTGTAGTTCAAATTTACCAAGCTCAAAAGTAGGACAACATATTTGCCATTCATCCCATTAACAAAAACTTTCTGTGGGAGTCCTCCACTACATGGCTACATTAGCATGTTCCAATCTACCAAACTTTCAAAGGACCAACTTCAAACCAAAACATGGTCCTTTGAAAGTGTAGTCAACAAGTCTATTTCAAAACATAACATACGTGAACAAGTCTACCGAAATTAACTCAAAAAGTCTACCAATAAAATCTAAACAACTCTACCGAGATTACAAAAGAAATCAGAGTCTGAATGATCACTTCATAGAAGATGTCTGAAACAGAACCCAGTCATTGTACTGTCCATGAGGGTTAGGATCAGATTGCTGAACTGTTTCTCCAAACCAGGATGTTGGAATCCCATCCATTATCTCAGCTGCATATTTCTTACGTATCCTACCAATGTTGGCATCGTTAAGGTCTCCCATAACATGTCCAAGAGCCAAACACTCAATCAACTTCAACGTATAGATGCCGCAGTCCCCAGTTTGGATGTTTTGAGGAATATTTTTCATCCTGTAGAAGCTGAATGCTTGCTCACTCTTCCAATCGTTTGGAAACATTCTGTGCAGCAATATTAGAATCATCTTAGCGTATACCCTCGTCTCTGATCTTAACTTGTTCTCGCCATAAAGGGTCCTAATGCAATCATACACATTCAACTTCTTCTTCGTAATGTCCACCTCTACTGCAACCCAATGTTCATCGTCGATATTATGGCAGATGTACAAGAGGTCGACGTCTTTAAACCATTTCTTTTCTGTGACTGCAAAATTCGGAGAAACCCCATTCGCAAGGTCGATAAATCCCTTGTCAAATACCCAACTCTTAGGAAAACGTAAGTAGTTCCTATTGTATTCAACATGCCATTGCGCAGTGAACATGGGATCAAGAAAAGCAACCCGGCCATTTCTACGATAAGGAGATGGGTTTCTCAAAGACCGTTGACGAAACATATTCATTGCTGATGTCATATGCTGGAAAAAAAAATTATATTTATTGGATCTACCAAGAAATATTACATCTGTAAATAACTCTACTAGTAAAGAAATATACACTATCACCCAACCAGCCAAATTTGTATGTAGACCACTACGAAAGTTAAAGGACTTACAACTATGTCGTCACGAAGTTGAGCAATCGTTTTGCTTTCTGAGGGTCAACCGCTTCAAAAAGATCATACAAATATTGTGAAGCATTTGCACCTACAATGATTAGTTTAACAGCTGAACTTCCTACGAAAGCTGACAATTGACTAGGAGCCAGGTTTCGATCCTTTCGGAGTCCATGATCTTTCTTGCCAAGAAAAATCTTCAGCTTATTCAACCCGTTGCTAAGTGCTGCATTCCTTGCATTTTCTTCAGGATCAGATACTGGTGAAATAGGTGTTGACGATTTAGGTTGTCCTAAGGTTGGCGACGAAAACTTCAGTCTTGAAGGAGGTGTTAACTGGTCAGTGATATCGACACAGTCTTTGTCCTCAAATTTCTTTCGAAGCTGATGTATGATTTTGGCATTTTCGCTCTGCGTATTAACTTCTGGTTCTATTTTCACCTTGCGAGAACTCTTCAAATGGGAAATTGGGGTTCTGACGACCCTTGATATCGGAATCTCTGGCTCAGAAGTGTCATGGAGATCTACCATCCACGACTATTCACATAAACAATGATATTAGAGGCGTCAATATGCGAACAGAGATTAAATAAATTTGAAATAAAGTCTATCACATAACTACGTAAAACAAGTCTATCACATAGTTTACACAAGTCTATCATGGCGGCTGCACAAGTCTGCCACTTGGTCTAAAACAAGTCTACCATATAGTTTACACAATTTTATCAACGTGTTCTAAACAAATTGCTGCATTTGCATCAAATCTACCATTTCATATCAGAAACGAAGACATATAAACAAATCTACCATAACATAGCAAAGACATGTAAATAAATCTACCATAACATAGCCAAGACATGTAAATAAATCTACCATGACATTTTAAGGTTACAATAACACGAATTAGAAGAAAAAGTCACACACACAACACCGTTTTAAAAACTGCCTGAAAACTCGTTTTTGAAAGCCCAAACTTAAAAGGATTCGAAGGTTTAAGGTTTTAGTCTCAAAGTAACTTTCTGTTAGTTACTTTCATTAGAAGAGAATCTTGCGTAATGGATCATTTTCCCCAGAACCTTCTTTCGGTTTGGATTGTTCATCTCTTGCTTTAGCTTCACGATCTATTGTTGCATCTTTGGCTTTGGCTGCGGATTGAACCAATTCTTCTTTATCGTCGACCACAACTTCCATTTCCTTCAACATATCTTTGATAACCTTGCTTCAAAACCATTAAGTTGGCCTCCAAACTTGGTGCTCATTTCTCCCACTTGGTTTGCTAACGACTGAAGAACGTTTAAGATCTGTTGTTTACTGTTGACACTAGTGTCCCTAGACTTTACCAAAGCAGCGTTCGTCTTTTGCTTCTCTTTTCTTGCTTTCTCCGTAAAGTCCTTGAGCTGGATGTCAAAATTTGTGTCCTCTTCCTCCCCACCATTTGTATTAGTGTCTTAGTCAACTACCTTTCCCTTCTTCATTTCTTTCTTCTTTAGCTTCCTTCTCTCGACTTCACTATCGTCTGAATCACTGTCGTCTTCTACCTTCTCCTTCTTCTTCTTATTTTCCTTCTTCTTCTTTTCCTTTCTCCTTCTGTCCACTTCACTATCCTCTGTATCACTATCCTCTTCTGATACCTTCTCTTTCTTTTTTTTTCTTATTTTGTTTCTGGTTACTCCTCTTCTCATCACTGTCTTCCTCAAAATCTTTGTCCCTCTTCTTTTTCTTCAGATGAGTACTCCCTAGAGTTATGTTCTTTTTCTTCTCTTTGTTCTTTGAATACCCCTTTCTAACATGCTTCTCATAAGAACTTTCCTCGACAACTAGCTTCTTCTTTTTATCAATCCTCGACGACTTCGCAGCAAGATTAACATTAAGCCAAAACGTTTCATCCAAGCATCCATCGAGAATGTCTCGGATCATGTTATCCACCTTCAGGTCAACGTCTGGCTTTGAGTCTTCGTCCTCCCAAACTGGATATATCTCCTTCAGCGGCTTAACCATGAAGTGTGTAACACGAACTAGAGGCAATAAAAACACATCTGATAAGTCTACCATTGACGAACCAATTATCAAAATAAATCTACCAAATTTAACAAATAAGTCTACCTAATTATGTAAATAAATCTACCAAATTATCAAAAATGATTTACCCATTCAAATAAATCTATCAACTTATATAAGTTACCGATAAATCTATCAACTTGTACAAAACCCCAGGTAAATAGTCTACCAAAAATTAAACTTAAAAATAGAATTACATACCTTATTGTCCTCCGAGTTCCTTTTATCCTCCTCCATGACGGTCTCAAGTTCGAATCGTGGCCGCGATGACTACCATCTAAGGAGTGGGACTCTGCCTGGATGGTCCTCTTCTCTTAACCCAAAATTTTCTCCCAAGATATGTACAGACTCAAAAGCCCATATGAGCATCGCATGCACCAATCCATGGAGAGTGTTACTATCTCCTTGTAGAGTAACAACTTTAATAGAGTCCATTAAACTCTTAAACGCATGCCGGCCCCATGGATGCCTCTCGAAAGCTTCTTCATTTAACACAATCTTGGCAAACTTCAAAGGAACTCAACTATTCCGGTTAAGTCCAAATATTCCAACGTGCAGTATAAATAGCTTAGCTCCCATTTCCTTCTTCGCTCTGCTCAATGTCTTGCATTTTTTGCAGACTGCATCGAGCTCTTTCCAATTCGACCCATCTGAGGGTTTCACACTCATCTCTCCCCAAATTCAGTGTGATCCGTGTCCCAATCATCTCCACCAATTGGATCACAGTTGAGCCCCATGATGGCACTAAACTCATGGAGGGAAAACCTCGTGGGTCTACCACCCATAGTTGACCATAACTCATATCGCCTGTCCACAGCTAATTGGTTTGTTAAAAACTGATGAACGATGTGTGCACTCCAGGTATATTTTTTCACCGCAAGCTTCAGAAGAACTCCTACTTATGATATATTCATTACATCATTGAACACCGCATCACCAACCTCTTCTCTCAAGGTGTAAAAATCTGTCAGGTGGCATCCGTAATTGAAGTTGTGGTTCTGCAAAGGATATTTTCCTGGCGGAAACAGTCTGGGGGGGGGATAATATGTGACCATCACTATTAATATGAAACACCAAAAACATATCAACAACTTTACCATAAAAACAAAACTGATCTACCACTCTACTAAAATAACTCTACCACAGACATTATACAAGTCTATCAAAAAACAACTCTACCAAAGATATTATACAAGTCTACCACAATTAAAAGAAAACTCTATCACATTCATGATAAACGTAAAACAACTCTATCAAAAAACAAAACAAGTCTACCAATACCA